TCTCCCAGCAGATGGCCTTCAGAGGCAGTCACACTGCCATCAAGGCTAATAGCCATTGATCTCCATAACTTTCATGAATTGGTCCAAACTCTTTTTGAAGCCAGCCAGGCTGGTAGTCAGCACCACATCTTGTGGCAGCGGATTCCAAAGTTTAATTATGCATTGTGTAAAAAAAAATTTCTTTTGTCTATTCTGGTTCTGCCAGTATTCATTTTCATTGGGTGAAATTTCTTCTTGTTCCAATATTTTGGGAAAAGGAAAATAGCTTCTCTTTGTCCGCTTTACCCACATCATGCATAACTTTGTACACCTCAGACATGTCCCCTCTCGTTCACCTCATTCTGAGAGTAAAAAGTCCCAAGTGTTGCAACATTCCCTCATAGGGAATCTGCTCCAGCTGCTTCCTTTGAGGTGATGGCACTAGGATGTGAATGGTAAATAAACATATCGTAAGTAGCAGAAATGTTATGTCCTAGTGCATGCTTATAACTCAGTCATTAGTTCAGCAGCATGGGATCATAACACAAAAGAAGCAATCACATCACTTAGGTTATGTAAGCACTAGTCCTTGGGAAAACAGATGGGATGCAATGTCTGTTTATCCCAACCTAGCACCCTCCAAATATGTTAACTTCAATTTCCACAATCATTAACTAGGATTGCCAAAGGCCATTGTGTGGACTGAAGTCCAGTATACTTAGAAGACACAAACTTAAGGCAAAGTCTCCTTTGAACTGAGCTCAACCCTTGGAGACTTCACAGACACAATCGTGCAGTTTCCTTGGCGGTGACATGGAATTGGTCTGCCACTACTTTTTTCAGGATTCTTTAAAAACTTCCCAGTCTAGCCTACAGCCCAGGCATTCCTGGTTATCTCTCATCCAAGTACTAGTCAGACTCTACCAGGGTTAGCTTTTCAAGATCAGCCAAGGTTAGCTGGAAGTCTCCATGGAAAGCGGTCTACCAAGTTATCTCCTCTGGATGATGTTACCTTATTTACGTTACTTTATTCTAACCACTTTCTCTCTTATAATAGTTTTTCCTCCACATCTCTGCATTTGTTGAGCTACTACAGAAAAAGGGGGTGAATGAGTTTGCTGCATTTGGAGGTCCTGTTACCTTATCATTCCACAGGTTGACCTGCATGAACATGACCCAGTGTACACACAGATTTTGTGCCCCTGAAGCACTTTGGTGTTGGAGAAGACTCTTGAGAATACTATGGACAGCCAAGTAAACAAACCAATGGAACCCAGAATTCCTACTCAAGGCACAAATGACCAGGCTCAAATTATCCTACTTTGGATACATTATGTGAAGACCTAGCTCTCTGGAGAAGGCTCTGATGCTGGGAAAGGTAGAGGGAAAGAGAAGAAGAGGACGACCAGCAGCAAGATGGATGGACTCAGTTACAGTGGCGATGAATGCACTATTGGAAGAACTGAAGAAGGTTAGGGCCAGATCATATGGAGAACATCTATCTGTGTGGTCACTAAGAGTCAACAATGACTTGATGGCACGTAATCTAATCTAATCAGAAAATGATGTGAAATTCCTTAGCAGGAGTTCCATCCCATTCCAGGCTCAGAGATGCATTTTTTAAATTTGGTTGACAGAAGTGTTGGCAGTTAGATGACATTCAGTTCCAAGCATGAGCTTTTTCCAAACATTGAGCTGGTTCTGCGCACAAAGCCAACACTTGCAATTTTCTCAGGTAAGGAGAAGAGCCTGTTTGCTCTCTTTATAACAATCCCTCATCCCCACTCCTGGCTGAAAGGTTTCTCTGGCCTGCTCTTGGGTTTCCTCCCTGTTTTTGCAAAAGCCTTTTCCTTCTGTATTTTTGTGGTTCCTCCCACAACAGCTGGATATTAGGGCCTTGGCAGCTGCCTGTTGCCTAGCAACAAAGTGTTGCTTCCCGCTTCTTTGGCCTTTCTCTGCATTCCTGCCTTGCTGCTGAGCCTCCAGCCAGCCGTGACTTTTCTCAGCATTATCGCGGTTGCAAGCAATAAACCAAAGCCGAGGAAACTCGGACAAAGCCACTGCGCTTGGTTGCCCTTCCCTGCCAGGGCCGACCTATGGCCGCCACCTCTGGCTCGGCTCTTCTGCTAGGGGATCCGTCTGCCTTTGCTGCCGCCCTCAAGACTCTCATCAACAACCCCCAGTTCAGGTAAGCCTGCCTGCCCGCTGTGGGGGTCAGCCAGCAGAGCCGGCAGGGGTGATCATGTGACTGGGAAGGGAGGCAAGCCCATTCCAGCAGGCAAAGTTACTATCCCCGAGAAACAAAAGACAACCAGGCTCTGCTGAGGTGTGACTCTAAGTAGCTCCCCCGACTTTGCATGGCAATATATGTGCTTGGTTTCTTGAATCTCCCCAGATCACAACTTTGCCTCTGATTTGGCAGAGGGATTTTTTGTGGCCAATGTGGCTTCAGTTTATAAAGGAACTCTGGGTTTGCAGTAAAATTGCATACAAAGGCAAATAAATGGTTGCTAATTGCACATACGTGTGGTCTTCTTTCCTTTGGGCCCTGCTTTGATGAGGAAAAAGGTTTTAGTAAAAAGAAACAACTGTTTGCAAGAAATGGAAGCTCTCCTCTTCAAACAGCATTGATTTTGTGATTTTTTCTTTCTAGTTGTAAGAACGGAAGGGAAAGAGCAAGTCACATGACTGTTTTGAAACAGTTGTCCTCTAGCCTAAAAAGGCTTGGATCAGCTGTTCTTGGGACTATTTTTGTAGGACATGACAGCGAAAGTGTCTGTTTACAGGTATGCATTGTGAAACCTGAAATGCAGCATGAATGATTCCATGCACAATTATGTGAATTTGTTGTGCACTCACAGCCTAAAATATAATATAGCGTTAGTAGCTATCAAGTACCCTTGCTACTCCTTTGCCCTAGATAATTATTTCAGGTCAATTTAACTACAATGTGTTAAATGTGTTGACACCTCTTATAATCTATTCATAGCACTTGTTTTTGACAGGAAAAAATGTCTATAACCACAAGTGTCTGTGGGGAGAGGGTAAGTGGCAAAATGTGCCTTCTAATGCGACAAACGCTCTGCTTCTTATGTACTTGCACGCGATATCACAAAGCGAGTGCAAAAGGGTGGCATTTGGTGATGCACATCTTGTCATTTTGACGTAATTGCAGTTAGAAACAGACACCTATAATTATGGTATCAGGATTTGACAAAACCGCCAATAAGTTTTTCCTAAGCAGGAATTTGAACTAAGATGTATTTCTCTCTTTCCAGCAGATCACATTATTTGCCTTATTCTAAGTGGTGGGCTTTTTCAGCAACCGGAGTGAACAAGCCAGAAAAAGGCAAATAAGCTATGTTTTATACTGTAAACCTAGCTAGTTGTAGTTTATTCAGTAAACCATGGAGAAACAAAGTATAGTGTAGTGTATTTATACTGCTTAGTGTACTGTAGAATGTGAACTAGGTTTTAACCTTGGCTATGCCATAATGTGGTTTGATTTTGACTGACGTGAAGTCCAAAGGAAAAAACAGATTATATGTTCGTGACACAAAACCATAGACTCCAATACTTTTGAGATTATTTTTGTAATATATTGCTGTTGTTACTATCATTGTATGATTAATATTATTAACCCTAATTTGTTAGATTTGGAATTAAAGTCATACCATAACTCTTAACTGCATAGACAGTTACTCACCTCTATAAGCCAAGAAGTTTATAAGTAGATCTAGATTTCTGTTAAAACTTATGTAGCTGAACTTTCTGTTTCCCTGTTTGGCAGTGTATACAACAGGGTCACCCATGTACTCTGTACAGTCCAACAAAAGAATGGAACTTCAGTCTGCGGCAAGATCAAAGGCCTAAACTGTGATCTAGTAAAAATTTTAAGAATAAGGCAGTTGTTTTCACGATATTCAAGCTGTTTATAGCATTTGAGAGAATGATGATTAACATTGATTAGAACCAGCTGTTAACACTAGAACATATATTGAGTGATTCCCTCCACCTTTTCCATACTGAAAGTATTTTGTCTTGCTCTTTTGAGCTACCTAGGTCCACTTTTTCTGACTATGTTCCAAATGGTGGTGTTGATGCAATGCTCAAATTGCATGTGTCTGCTCTTCATTGGTAATATATAATGATAAGTGATATTGTTTCTGTTATATGTAATCTAATCTGGTGATATAGTTTTCATTGACCATATGACACAATAATCCAAGGTTCCCTTCCCAGGGAGAGATGGCATAGAATACAAGGCTTATATATATATCAGTTATAAATATTTATTTTAAAAAATCATAATATAGCTAACATTGCTGAAAAGATACTGCATTTTCCAAGATCCTGTGTTGCAATACATTGGCAGTGAGAAAATGCACATTCATTATGAACAACAATGCTGAATGGAATATAATTATGTGAGTATCACACCTAGTGGATAGTGTTTGTGACTTCATAAATAACAGTACAATACAGTAATAAGTAGTAAACTTGTTTTAATGTTAGATGTTTCCAACTATACAAAGTAATAAATTTTAGCAAGGCTACTTGTCTTAGTTTCTATCTTTTTACTACTTTTAATATATATGTTTGTGTTCTGCATCTTGAGAAGGAAAGCACGTATCTCCCCTTATTTTTAAATGAAAAATAAACTTGTTCAGTCTTGCTCCTTGTAGCAAGCTTGCCCAATTTTAATATGTGTGGACATTGTGTAATTGATGCTGGCTAGATGAAGACTTCAATAAAGTGTAGCTATCTGGTGGCTGATTTACATTATTCTACAAGAGTTATTGAACTGGGACAGCTAGGAATTGAGATAATTGTCTTGAATAACCTCTTTTTGCATAAAAATAAAAAATGAACTTGTGATTTATGGTTTTGATGATTAGACAGGATAGATTATAGAAAGAAAAGTATTATGATGTAACTTTAGAGAGAGAGATTAAAATATAATTGTACTTATAACTGCTGTGAAGAATATCAGAAGCCACTGCATTGTATCTTTTTTCTTTCTTTTCTATTTTTCTTTCTTTTTTTCTTTTCTTGCACTTTTTGCTTTCTCTTTGCTTTTTTTCTTTTTCTCTTTTCTTTAGTTTATATTTGTATTAGTTTTTATCTTTTTTTAAAAAATTAATTAAACATATATTGAAAAAAAAGAGATAATTGTTTTGATTGAATGGTGTTACATTTCACAGAGAAATTAAAAATACCAATCTATTTTCTGGCCCATAAAAGTGAGAAAGTCATTAGATAATAAAAAATGAAGTGAATACCAAATAAGTTACAGAAGATACTGCTGTAGTTATTTAAATCTACACACCCTTCCAGTGTGGTTTCTAATGACATAATATGGTAGGAACATCAACCTATGCGGTCTTTATAACTTGGTGCAACAGGTCATTTGAACATCTGATGACGTTAATATATATCATTGCCTGATCTGCAGCACTGCTTGGAAAGCAGAAGTCAACACATGAGGCTCTGCTCATGACCACTAAGCTCATTTTTATTTCCTCTGCTTGCAGTGTGTTCTGATCTTGTTATATGCACCCATTCCCACATGCTAAATTATTCATCATCTGGCATGCTCTTGCTACTCCTTGTTGCAGGCAGGGAGAGGGAGAGAAGATTTGTTAGCAACATGACTATTCCAAGATGTTTTATCTGATGCAGAGGAGGAAATTTGCTCCTTCTCAAGTTAAATTGCAGTGTCTCCAAATTTGAGTGCAATATGGTCATTTTTCCCAAAGGTACCCATCACCTTCAGTTCTTAATCAATTCCTCTTTGCTGGTAAGGGTTAGGTCCAGAATAGCAGATCCTCTTGTTCTTTCTTCTACCTTCTGACAAATGAAGTTGTCAACAAGAGAGGACAAGAATTTCTTGGAACTTTGACTTTTGACAGAGGTAGAGTCCCAGCAGATGTCAGAAAAATTGAAATCCCCCATTATCACTCTTTGAAAGTCTGGATATCCGATGCATTTTATTTTTATCTTTCGCCTGCCTAGGCAGTCTGTAATGAACTTCCACTATGGTATCATTTTAGTTTTGGTTTTTCTCACCTTTTATTCTTTCAGTAAATCCCCACTTTCAACAGGGTTTCCATGCTCTGATTCTTTAAGTTCTGGATTTTTTCTTTGTATTCAGTGAATACGCCCTTCCTATTATTTCATCTGTTCCTTTTGAATAAATTCTAGCCTTCCAATGCTACGTGCCAGTCATGAGTATCATCCCACCAAGTTTCATTTATGCCTGTCTCATCATATTTATCTTCCTGAGAGAAAATAAATTCTCTAATTCTCCCTGTTTATGCTCATGCTTTGCTGTTGAACCATCTGGTGTTTTGAGAGCCACCTATTAGCGTCTCTGTTTTAGCATCCTGTGAAACTCTGAGTCCCCATTCTGGCCTCCTGTTTTTCCCATTGTATTCTGCTTTCTTGGTCCCAATCTTTGGCTGGATATTCAATCTTTTGCCACCCTCCATCTTTTATTCTGGTTTAGTGCCTTCCTGATGAGAGTGGTAAGGCACCTAATAAACACTTTCTTCCCAGGTTGTATCTTGTCTCTTCCCAGGAGACCTTCATGAAGGCAGCATAGGCCATAGCTGTATAATCCAAACCCTTCCTGGGAACACCATCTGTGTAGCCAGTTATTGACTTCTACGATCCTGTTTTCTCTTCTTATACTTTCACCCTCAGCTGGAAGGATTGAAGAAAAAATTACCTATTTTCTCAATTTACTTCATCTTTCTGCCCAAGGCATCATAGTTTCCAGACATTTTTCAATGTCTTTTCTGGCTGTGCCATTCATCCGTACATGAATCAAGAGGAAAGAGTAGCTGCCAGTGTTGGTATCATGTCCTATATTCAGGCACCTTCACAGCTGCCTTGGCTGTCAGGGAATCATCCACCACAAAAATAAACTTCTTTTGTAGAACAGCTTTTGGTTTTCTTTGAAATATAGGAGCACAAGTGTCTTCTACAATGTTCTATGGCATGGTTTACTTGCGGTTGTCAATGATCCTCTAGAGGAACAGCCTGCTGCTGATTCCTGAGTTCCTTTGACACTATTTCCTGATGCTCTTGCTTCATTGGATCATATTCTCCTATATGTTTGCTTCTGCCAAGGGTTTTTTTCCTCTGTTCTCTTCACTTCTCTCTCCTTCCTAGAGCTGTCTTGCCCAGGAACCTCTTGTCTTCCCTGATACAGTTCAGTATAGCAACTTTCACCTTAAATCGCTTCTTCCTCCAATGTGGAACAAGCTTGCACTTGAGATTATGAACATCTCTTTTTTGGAGTTGGAGGACCCAGCCACCTTATAGGAGGGTAAATTGTTGAGGGTGAGGACTATTTTGGGGCCTGATCTTTTGTCAACTACAGGTAGGTATCCAAGAGATGTGGAAAGTTTAAGTCCACATATCTTAAAGTTGCTAAGGTTGAGACATACTGATCTAGATAATCAGTTTTCTTTAAAACCTCCTGGAACCGCAATGCCATAGCCTGAAGAAGGTTGGCTGGGAAATTCTGAGAGTTTAAGTCCACATATCTTAAAGTTGCTAAGGTTGAGAAACACTTATCTAGATCATTTGCAGTATGTAGAGACCTGGCCTTGATTGTCTTGATGAATTATCTGTAGGGGGGTTGGGAACAGGGAGAGGTCAGGAATGTAATACTGTTGATTTTTGGTTTTGATACCATTGACCACAATAATCTTTGGAGTGATAGAGACAGTACTGTTACAGCTTTGTTAGTGTTTTCAGAAGATGGTTTTGCAAGATACTTGCTTGATCTGTTGATACCTTTCTAGTTCAGATGAAAGTACTGACAGGTACAAAGACTTACAAGACTTACACCCAAGTATTAGCAGAAGTTTCTGTATAGTCCACCCCTTCAACAGGACATTTTTGGTAGGTTCCACCATATGTCTAACATAATGGTAAATTCTGTTTTTTCATGGGGGCCTTCCTTATGAAACAAATAGCCATTGAAATTCAGGCAAGCCTCATCCTTACTGCAGTCTTTATACTGAGGCCTTTTAGAGTTTAAGGATTTTATGCAGCTAGTTTTTATACATTTCTATATTCAATTTTTAAATATTAATTCATCTGCCCAAAACATTTCCTCCCCTCCCTTCATCACTACATTATGTTATATTTTTGGAGCCTAGTTAGAAAAAAAGGAGTTCTGGTGCAATGTGGTGGCAGCAAAATTAAACACTGCCTTCTCACTGCTTTACCAATTACCAAAAGCAATTCTTGTTCTAAGGACACTTCCATATTACCACTGCTTCTACACCTGCAGCAACAATTTGAAGAACCACAATCTTCTTCAAACTTTGTTTTATTTGCTTTAGTGAAGGACCTCTGAATTCTGCATGTTGGCTCTCAAAAGGAAGCATCTAAAGAAAGATGATAGAGAGCAGGGGAGGAAGCTGAGCCATCTATATGGTAAACTCTGCCATTATACTGAAATCTGTGTGGCCTCTCTTTCCACAGTGATGTAACATTTCTGGTTGGCAAAGAGAAGCAGAAAGTCTTTGCCCATCGCTGCCTCCTCTCCTCCCGCTGCCAGGTATTCCATGCAATGCTAAGCCAACCCCATGAGATACAAGTCCCGCTGGTCCTGAATCACATGCAGCCAGAAGTATTCCTTACAGTCATTGAGTACCTTTACACCAATGGTGTCACTCTCAACAATCTTACTGTAAGTATAACTTATATTACTGGCTGGGTTGGGCTTCCAGAGAAATGGATGGAGGAATGGTTAAAATTAGTACTGTAAGCAGCATTTTTAACTTGTTTGTAAGTAGGATGAAATTACCAAAGGCCTCTTATAGATTAGTATATAATCTATATAATTATAGATTAATTTTGAAAACTTACCAGCTTTTTAGTGACAGATAAAAACATTCAATTTTTCTCTTACCTTTTCCTGATTTGGATTGATCCTGCAGTTTGGAGATTTGTTCATATTATATAGTCCTTTTTATTGTGAATTTACTTTGCTGTTTTTATCGTCTTTTAAAAATATTTTTTTTGCTGAGAATCAGCTTAAGTATAGATTTTTCCTGTAGGACAGTAAGGTGTGCATTAAACAGATGATAATGAAAAATTAATATGAAGATGATAATTTTAAATAGACCATGGTGAATTAGTTGCCTGGAAAAAATCAAGTATATCTCCAGGTGACTGACTGATCAATAGATTATTTTAATCCACAAAACTGATAGCCAATAGATCTCAGTTGCTGCATGGCTGAATGCACTAAGCTTCTGGATGTGTCCAAATGGACCTTTTAATGTGCAACATGTATGATTCATCACCGTATTTTCTTTGAACATCCAGAGAATGTTTTCTCCTTTTAATCATCAGCCAAGTTTTATATCTCTTTCATTTTTTTTTGTCTTTATGGGAATAATGCACTTATACAGAAAGTCCTCAAACAGAACTATAAATCTCCAAAAGAAGTGGACGTTCTATAAACCTTCATTCCTATGAATTTGGGTTGTGCGGCTGTAACTGTACAGCCGCAGAACCTCCTCTCATTTCTCTCCTCCTCCCTCCCCTGATTTGCCATTTTATACATCTGTGTACTCAGCGTTTTTCTTTTTGTTTTTACTGTTGCCTTTGTATCTACATAGTTATATCTCAGTTCTAGAATTTCAAATACAACCTCATCACCTCACCTCTACCCATTTTTTCTCATTTGCTGTTCCAAAAAGAATGAAAATTCTCCTATGTGTATGGCAAGCAACACAATCTATCTGCAATTAGTATTTTTTAAAATTAAAAAAAAGTATGAATGTGTGACATTTCTAGCCTTGAAAGAAATGCGGAAAGTAACTGCTACCCTTCTAGCTCATAATATGCAAACAATTGCAGCTTTAATTGTAAACAGTTTTTTTCATTGTTTCAAGAACAAGGTTATGGTAGGCACATTCAACAGAAAGCAATGAATAAGCAAGAGTATTTTGAAATTGTCAACTTCTAGGGTGATGTTCTAAGGGCTGTGCCTGTATGCATAATCCGAGCTATCCTTGCTTTTCAGGGGAGAAACAAGAGAGGGGTGGAAGGTTAAAGAGGCTGATATGGGTAAAATAAGTATGTAGATGTCATGATATGCCCACTAGTATGCAGGGTATATATTTAGTTTTTGAACAATAAAAACATTTAGCAGGAACAAACTCTGTGGATGCTGTATTGCAATTCCACAAGCAACGGAAAAGCAATGACATAATGTGAATGAAGGCTCACTTCTGGATGCAGCCTTTGCGGTATTGATACGTGAAAGATAGGTACACTAGTGCTTGCACTGGGTTTGATCCATATTCATATTAACCATTCTTAATATTTGAAACAAATCTTTTCCATGGAGTCTTGAATTGCAGAACCTTGAATTCTAAAGTCCTATCACCACTGCAGCAGAGAGAAGCTGGATGAGGATTGGAAGAAGGGTATTTGTGTAAGAATGCTGGCTTAAGCAACCGCTCTGAATAGCTTCCAAATAATAAGACTTGTTGCTTAGCTTTTTGTTAATTTAAAGGTGTTGGCAGCAACCCCAAAATCGCTGGTACAGATCTGATTTAAGAGAGCAGTGAAATGGTTTTTGAATAATGGGTTTCAAAACTACACTCAATATGTAAGGTTGAGTCTTTTATTTTTTTGCTAGCATGGAGGAAAATGCTCTTGGATACAGCAAATTAGACATCATAGTCCTCGCCAATCTGAAATTCCCTTTTAAGCTATCACTTTTTTATTAGTGTTTAGGTCTCTTGTTAACTTGTGCTGTGTAACTGAAGAATACAATAACTTTACCTTTCTCATCTCACACTGTCAGCTGTGTCATCTAGGAAGCCCACTTTTGCAGAGGACTTTTCTGCAATAAAAGGTCCTATTTGGATGAAGATGACCATCTATATGGCCCATGCAAATGATGTTGGATTTTGGGGCAGATATAGTCTTTATCATATTGTTTCTACATATATTGTGGGGGATATAGTACCCTATTAATTCTCCTGGATGTCTCCCTGCTTTTGTTAGTATTGATTACTTTTACTGATTGGAAACAAAAAGGTACATTTTTCCACATAAGTACCAGAAGTAGTACTGGGGTTATTATTTCAATGTATACCAATTATCCTTACAGAGTTTTTTGTCTCAGATTTGTTTCCTTTGGTTTTTAACATCTATAAAAATCTTCAGAGTGGAGTTGTCCAGAGTTACAGAATGTAAAGTCATTGATATGCACTGTTCAGATCGCTAAAGCCCTATAGCTCAAATATTCTTTCACAAGTCAGAAAATAGAGTGTATCAGTAAATCCGCCTTTTCTACCTTTTTTCCCATTTACTAGAGGAGCTGAATGAATATGCAAATAAAAATCTGCAGATGTTATTTTAAAATAGAGATGGGCAATCTGTGTCCCTCTATATTTTGTTGAGCTACAGCTTCCATCAACTTTAGCCAGCATATTCATTGCTGAGGGATGATTAAAGTTGCAGGTTGGTTTTCCTTCCTCTAAAAAAAAACAACAACAATCATACTGTTAGAAAGAACACATAGTAGGCAGAGATAAGGTCTCCAAACAATCCGGAAGACATTAGTCTGAATAATTTGTGATTCTATTAACAATATGTGGTATTTCTGAGAAGAGCAAATAAACACTGAGAAGCCGCAAAGCATAATGAAATCACATAGTAACTTTTCAGACTGCTGGAAAGATAGAAAATAAAAATTAAAAGTTCAGGTGCAATTTATTCCATCTTTAACAAGATAGAGGATGGAGCTAATTACAAAATACCTACCTTATCCATTTTATTTGCAGGCCCTTGAGGTTTTGACTTCATCTGTGGAGTATGGGCTGGATGATCTCAGAAAGGTAAGGATCATGCACTGCAGTTTATGAATTCTGATCTAGGATTTTATAATCCACAGATGTACATGCAATGTAGTCAATGGTATATATCGCAAGCCGTGGATACTGGCTTATTTGATTCAAAGACTGTAAGGTTTGTACCCACTGATACTACTTTTGACACACAGGAAGACTTGCCTTTCACTGCTCTAGATTGGCCTACAGATAATTCAACCCAAACTCTTGAGATCCCTGTCTCTGTAGAACTAACATAAGCATACCTGCTACTATGAGCCATCCTGTCATTCCTCACTATAACAGAGAAACCCTGTAAGTACTGTATTGATACTGGCAGGACAGAACCATGCATTGATGTTGGCCTGTAATCAAGATGCTCTGTCCTGCTACTTTTCTTCCTTAGTTTTGTCTGTTATTAAGGTGTGCTATCTTGCTATCATATCTCCTTCCTGAGAGCCTAAGGAAATGGTAAGTAAATTATTATAGTTTTGCAAATGAATGATAGGAAGAAAATGATTATAGCAGTTCCTACCACTATTAAAGCTGAGATGATTTAAATTAATAAGGGCTTTTCCCACATGAACCCAACCATGGCAAAAACATGCCCTGGGAACATCTTTTTTTCTCCCTTGATTGAATTATATCAGCTCAGGTCTGGTACTGGTAGTAACTGTCCTGTCCCCCTTCATCTTTATTCCCAGAGCATTGAGTGGGGCAGCCTTAAGTCATCTTTAGCAGAATCAGTGTCCCTCTTATTCTAACACCTTCCAAGGGCACCCTCAAGTAATTAGAAAACAGACTTTGTCACCTGTGACCTTGGGGAAGTCAGATGACTGCAGCGACTTGAAACAGAGCCAATATGAGGAGGATGCGAATTGGCAGTGGAAATTTCATGCTGTTATATTTTTCTGCCAGTGAAAGGATAGGTGGTTAACACTTCAGCTTAGCAGTGGGGAAAGGCCTCCAGTTAAGTAGAAGCAAAATAAGGTCTGTATTTATAGGAAGGTTTTGTTGAAAAATTGTCATAGCTCATGGTTTAGTAAGCAGAAATGTAAGATCTAATGATGGATTTTAAGCTGGGCCTGCATTATATGTTGATTTTTCATTAATTAGACTTTACTGAAACTCACAGTACCTCTGACTTTGTTAATTACTAAATTAACAAGTTTTGTGTATTGAAAATATGTTGCCTTTTTCACTTATATCAAGGACCCGGGGAACTGCTGTGGGAACAGCATTAGGGAAGTCCTATAATCTAACTGTAAACTAGAAACTCTACTTTGGAAACTGACAATCCTGTGTATACGCGCGCACACACACACACACTAACTGCAGGTGACTTGGAGGAAGCAGCATTTACTGGCTACTTTCAGATTTGCACCAGTTATATAAAAACAGCAGCAACTGTCACATTATTGACGGCACCACTGAACTCTGGCATGGCATGTGCTGTTTAACACAGGAATTGCTGACAGTGTAGAACTCTGATTACAGTACTTCATTAACATCTGTCCTATTTAGACCAATCTAATTTAGATAATTCCTATTATGTGAAGGTTTTGTGTCCCCAGTTGGTTTTCTTTTATCTTGGACAAAATCCATGTTCTCCCTCCAAGTGCTGTAGAGCTTCTTTCTTTAAATCCTTAGCTACATATAGTCATTTTCCTTATAGACTGATAATCAGCTCCTTCCTTCCTTCCTTCCTTCCTTCCTTCCTTCCTTCCTTCCTTCCTTCCTTCCTTCCTTCCTTCCTTCCTTCTCCATGTTTACACAGTTACAGTTATAACAGTTTAACTGGAATTGTGATTATTTTTGTTTGCACATAATTCAGTAACAGTTTGCACAATGATGAACTATAGTCCACATGACTTAGCCATCTCTTTGATCTTCCACTTCCACACTACTTTTCGTATTAAGCTGGCATCTCATTTAAGACGTATTGACTTTCCTGGGTGTGACCTCTTCTCAGGTTCTGATCATTCTCCTCCTTCAACGAGTTGCCATCGTTTTCATTTCCAAAACATCTTTAAAAGAAATTTGGGCTTATATATTTATGTAAATACTTCGGATATTTCACAGTGTCATATGATGGGTTTTTTTTTCCATTCTGAGCACTATTTTCAGTATACCAGACAAACATCAGTGGGGATATAGTTACAAAAATTGAGAGTTCTTGTTTCTCACTTTAACCCAGGGAGAAAGATAGGGTTTTTTTTCCCCTGCATAGGACAACTTTAGAAGAAAAAGGTTATGCTGGTATAATGATCCTGTTATACTGGGTGGGATGCTACTGCACAGCAGGAACAGGGGGACCTCCCTTTTTTGCCAAACCCTACATTGGCTGAGCATTAACAAATGGTACCAGTTTTAAGTTGCCGGTGTTAAGTCACTGGGTGTTGTGCACAGGCACACCTGGGTATGTGGAAAAGTGCTTGTTCTCATGTGCCTGTGCAATTGACCCAATTGTCTAGCTAGGGTAGACCAGTTCCTTCTTGTACTAAAACAGCCACATCATGGTTGCGAGCTTTTTCCCATCTAACACCAGTCCTCTGGAATCAGCTTCCACCAGAACTGTACCTAGTGTTTGATCTATCAAATGTTAAATGGTATTAAAAATGTTTCTTTCTTATGGGCCTTTGTGAACCTGTTTGAAGTATTAATTTTATGCAGTAATGTACTAGTAATTTGTAGTAGTTATCAATGCTTGTTTTGAATCTTATGGACCATACAGATTACTGAGGCTGATTAGCTGTGATTTTAAATTGGATTGTAGTGAGATATTGCCTTTTTGATGTTATGTTTTATTATTTTGTCCGCTGAAGAGAATAGAATAGATGCACCTGTAACTAGGGTTATAGATGCATTTTTATGCATCTGTAATCCTAGTTATAGATGTATGAAAAATGAAAATATTACTGGCAATACTACTACTATTGCAGGAGGAAAGAAAAGAAAAAAATAGTATTAATTTTATAATGCTCAGTCATGCCCTTCATTTGCATGTCATTATACTTGCAAAAGAGATGGAGCAAATTAACATCCCATTGGACTAAGCAAGCAACTCCAGATAATTATGGCATCCACTTGGAATATATAATGTAATACTGAAGTACTTTGCAACTATTTGGACATATAATCCAAGCTACCTGAAAACATTGGTACTTCATTCTGTTTCCTCCATCCAGTTCTGAGAGATGAGATGAAATCATATTCTTATGCGATTTCATGTGGAGGTAGAAGGAATGAATTCCATTTGCAACAACTCTGAGATCAAGAGCCATGTGCTCCTTGCCAGCTTTTCTCTATCCTTTTTGTTCTGGACATTGCTAGCCAGTATCTAGGATGCATATAACGTATTTTCCTTAGAAATATTTCAGCTAGTGCACCTGAGAGTATATGTGTTCAACTGATTTTACTGTTATGCTAACATCTTCTTTTCAATAAACAATAACTACCAGAAAAGAGGAAAAACTATCCTGTGAAGGTGAACCTGTGGGTTTCTGAATGGCTTATGCGCAAATTGCAGAATATACCCTGGCATTACCCTGCTCACTCAAACTAGTTACCTCCTGTGTCTGTATATTGCATTTAGAGGCCGCACCATAGAATTCTAGATTGTTAGCTCTCTTTTGATATACATAAATGATATATTTCCCCTTTTTATATTTAAGAAATGTCAAAGCAACATGTTACGTATGCCCTTTCTGTCTTAGTATTGAAACTAACCCTGGTAGAGATTTCACAAATAAGAACATAAATAGGCTGAGAAAAATGCTGTGTATTAATAAGAAGATATTTATGTGTGAGAATGCATCTAAAGATAATACTTTAACTGGCAATGTTAACCGTTGATTGATTTTTTTTTTTGTTTATATGTACTGAATATATATACAGTATATAACTATATTTTTTCAAATCTATAACAGCATGAGATTATTCAGAATGTCTCCGTCCTCTGAATAGGAATAAACATACGTTCCCAGAAATAACCTAGCAACAAAGACTCATAAAAGGATGGGAAAGCTGGATGAGAGAGGACTAGGTCTTGACTATTAACATGAACTAGTGACTTTTGGAGGGAACGAATGACTTTCTTTTTTAGGAAAAGAGTCTAAGGAACAGTGATGGAAATAAACAAAGAAGAAGTGACAGCTGGCCAGGAACATAAACTTACCCATCTGCTTTCGGAAGGCTTGAAAGCCTAGACACTGTTCACTGGGGAGTTGTCATAACCCGTCATTTCCTTGCTGACTTGGTGATCCAAGAATAGTCTTATGTGACCATCAGGAGTTTCCCAATTGATACAAGTATCTGAGAATGTGGGAGTAGCAGGAAACTACATTCTGATGAGTACATACATATAACACAAGATAGCTCACAAAGGCAAACTAAGAAGGAATTAATGTTATGAGCCTGGCAATTAGGAGGAAATATTGAGTCTGGACCGCATGGGAATTCTTGGAGATAAAACAAAGGAGAAAAAAGATTTTAAAAATGTGATGGAATCCCCTTGAAGATTTTGCACAATATAACACTGAATTGCAAATAATAAAAATTGTGAGGAAAGAGGAAAATAGGAATAACAGTATCTGCAATGAGGAGAGACAGCACTAGTGTCAGAAAACGACAGACACGGGTTCGGTTGTCCAGTG